AAAATGTGGTATGGGTAACAGGAAAGCAGCTCTTTCAGATAGGGAGATCAAAGAAGACTTCCCTGAACGGAGATTTGAAGCAAATGGGGATAAACAAAGCAAGCAATGAATGGAAGTGAGGCCGAAGAAGGATCGAAGGTGAGGGAAATGATCGCAGTCCTTTACCACGTTTCCAGCTGCTGTATGCCAGCCCCTTTCTAGGTCATCGCCTCTGATCCTAGGACTCCGTGAGGAAGGAGTTAACTTTAACAGGCGTTAACTGAGGTTCCGAGAGCTCAGCTAAATCTCCTAAGGCTATTGGAGGGGTGGAAGAATTGAGGGAAAAAAAGAAAAAGAAAAAGAGAGAGAAAGAACTCATGGGCATGTAAAACAGTGTGATGATTTCAGGAATTGGGGGGTGAGGAAGAGGGTATAGGGGTAGTAAATGGTGATGGGGGAAAATAATAAAATAAAAAGCCAACAGTGACGGCTGCTGAGGTGGCCAAGGGGACGCGGGCTTCAGCCGTGGGCTCAGGCTCCACCGCGAGTTGAGGACATCCCCCGTGTACTTCCTCCAGCCCTGGTCGGCGAAGACCCTCACTCCCAGCGAGCCCCTTGGCTGGCCAGGACCCAGGTCCCATGCAGGCTGAGAATCTCCAGGACCAAACAAAGGTGATTTTTAAATGAAGGCATATTCAGCAGAGGGTTTGCAAGCATTAAGTATCCTCTCACTTTGAGCAAATAGGTGTGCAGCCCATTTCTGAGAAAAGAAATGGGAAACTTAAAGGACTCCACGAAATGAATGTTAGGAACTGATGACAGTTCATTAATTTGATGAATTACCCACGAAATGAAAAAGCCATTACATAGTATTATCAGGGGTCTTGAGGCCTATGTAAGGGTTTTAAAAAAAAAAAATTTTTTTTAGGGGCTCCCACAACACTTGCGTGTAGTTGAAATAAGCACCTGCAATCATTTAATTAGGTCCAAGAGAAAGCTCTAAATCACCTCCGTGCCTTCACGGGACTCACAGTTTAAGACACTCCTTGTTGCCAAGAGGTATTGATAGAATAGCCAGGATCCATGGAAAAGTTTTGGACCAATTTAAGAGGTTGTGCACTGCTGTTTAGAAACAAAAATAATGGTGCTCATTTTTCATGGTGACATTAGCAAAGACAACGAAGACCTCTCACCCGGAGCCTCTGAAGGTGACAAACCGTGAACCAGGTGGACCTAGTAGCAGGTGCCTGAGACTTCGCTCCAGCCAACATTGCTTATTATATACTGAACTAGAGGCCCGGTGCACGAAATTCGTACACATGTAGAGTCCCCAGCCTGGCCAGCAATCAGGGCCGATTCGGTCCTTCCTTCTGGCTGCTGGCTAGGGCCTTCCTTCATTCTGCATCATCTCCTGATGGTCCGCGCACATCATAGGGAGCAACTAAACTCCTGGTCTCTTGGTTGAACTCTCGAGGGGACACTTTGCATATTAGCCTTTTATATATAGAGATTTTGTGGGTCAGAAGTCCAGTCAGGCTCTACCATGTTTTCTGCTTAAGCTAACGTCAGCTGTCTGCAGGACTGGACTCTTGTCTGGGGGCTCTGGGGAAAAGTCTGCTCCCAAATCAGGTTGTTGGTAGAACTCAGTTCCTTATGGTTGTAGGACTGAGACTCTTGTTTCCTCATTGGCTATCAGCAGAGGGCTACTCTCAGCTCCATTTCTTGCCATGCGGTCTCCCCCATCTCTAAGCCTGAAAGGGTGGCCTGAATCTGAGTTCCCCTTCTGCAACCAGCTAGAGAAAACGTTTGCTTTTTTTTTTTTTTTTTTTTTTTTAATATATTTTATTGGTTTTTCACAGAGAGGAAGGAAGAGGGATAGAGAGCTAGAAACATCGATGAGAGAGAAACATCGACCAGCTGCCTCCTGCACACCCCCTACCGTGGATGTGCCCGCAACCAATGTACATGCCCTTGACCGGAATCGAACCTGGGACCTTGCAGTCCGCAGACCAATGCTCTATCCACTGAGCCAAACCGGTTTCGGCTGAAAACCTTTCCTTAAAAGGACTCATGCAATTAGGTTAGCCCCACCTGGACAGTCTTCCTCTCTAGAGGTCAACTGATTAGTAATCTTAAAAAAAAAAAAAAAAAAAAAAAAAATATATATATATATATATATATATATATATATATATATATATATATATATTTAATTGATTTTTTACAGAGAGGAAGAGAGAGGGATAGAGAGTTAGAAACATCAATGAGAGAGAATCATCAATCAGTTGCACACCCTCTACTGGGGATGTGCCCGCAACCAAGGTACGTGCCCTTGACCGGAATAGAACCTGGGACCCTTCGTCCACAGGCTGACATTCTATCCACTGAGCCAAACCGGTTTTGGCTGATTAGTAATCTTAATCACAGCAGCAGAATTCCTTTAACATACATACTCCTGAGAGCAGTGCTGGAGAGGAGGTAGTTCACGGGGCCCTCTTGGGATTCTGCTTCCCACACTATTCCCTAAACATGCTCTCATCAGTCTTGTCTCAGCACCTTTGCTCTTCCAGTTCCCTCTGTTGGGGACTCCTCCCCAGAGAGTCATGTGGTTTGCACAATGGACATATTATGTACTTACATGTTTATATGTTTATTACCTCTCTTTCCTCACTGGAATTGAGGCTCCCTGAAAATGGGGGCATTGCCTGCTTTATCTGCTTTATTCATGACTGCATGCATCCTCAGCGCCTAAAATAACTCCTGGCACACAGCAGATGCTTTACATCAGCGATTTTCAACTGGCGTGTTGCAAGAATTTTTAAAACATGCAATGCCCGACCATTTAGTCAGGGGCGCCGATCTCTTTTCCCTTAGATTGTAAAATAAAAAAATGACAACAGCCAACACAACAATAGCCATCTGGTGTGAACGAATCAAAATTAGACTTTTTTTTGTTAGATCAGTAAAAAAGTTATTTTTTGGTGGGCCACAGAATTTTAGTAATTACTTATGTGTGCCATGAGATGATAAAGATTGAAAATTACTGCTCTCCATCTGTAAATGCATGCATACATGAACCTCTAGTTTTCCCCACCCTCTTCTTCTCTTCCTTCTCTCTCCCACTAAGATGCCTTCGAATTTTAGAATTTCCACAAGATGATCATTATAAATGGGGTTTCCCTCTCTGAATTCAAGCATGATGATGAAAGGCGTGAGGAACCTCTGCTTTTCTACCTGATCTAAAGAAGCACGGAGTTTAAAGAGGCTCTTTCCTCTCTATTTGTCAGTCTTTCTTACCTTTGACCCATTTGTCTCTTCTCTGTCTGTCATGCATCCCCATCTTCCTGCCTTAGTTCAGGTTTGGAAAGGCCTTGAAAATGTTTGGTTGTAATTGCCGATTCGATGAGTGAGTTTCTAAACTGGAATATTTTCTCTGGCTCAGTTGGCTGGGGCATTATCCTGTGCACTGTAAGGTTGTGGGTTCAATTCCCAGTCAGGGCACAGACTTACATGGTGGGTTCCTGGTCTGGGTGTGTTTGGGAGGCAACCTGTCAATGTCTGTCTCTCTCTCTCTCTCTCTCTCTCTCTCTCTCTCTCTCTCTCTCTCTCTCTCTCTCTCCCCCTCCCTCCCTCCCTCTCTCCCTCCCTCTCTTTTTCTAACAATAAAACTTAAACTGCCAAGAATATTCCTCATTTTTAAAGGTCCAGCTCAGGATTCATGGGCTCTGTGGCATCCTTTGATTGGTATAGTTAATTCATAGGGAGATCTTCCTCTTTTGAATTAATTTACTATCTGAATCAGAGGCCCTGGGGCACAAAGGCTAGATTAGGTGCACTGATCTATTTTCTAGTCTGTACAGTCATTTTTAAGTGTTAGTCTTCTTTTTAAAATGTGTTTTTCAAATTGATTTTTAGAGAGAGAGTAAAGGAGGAGGGAAGAGAGAGAGAGAAAGAGAGAGAGAGAGAGAGAGAGAGAGAGAGAGAGAGAGAGAGAGAGAGAGAAATTGATGTGAGAGAGAAACATTGAACAAGCTCTGTCCATTATTTTTGTGCGTCTAGAATAACATACTTAAAATGTCAGGATGACCTCTGCTCCAGACCTCCAAAGGTAACAGGGTGGGTGAACTCCCACATTCTCATTATTACCCTTTACCTGCATGTAAACTATGTGTGTTAGGTGTTAACTGTCCTGCACCCACCAATATGAAAGAAACATGTGTTTCTCTATTTTACATTTCATCCAGTCCTAGTGATTTCTCAGCTTTGCTTTTTCCCACCTCCTTAATCTGCCACTAATGGATTTCATATAACTTTTTAAAAAATATATATTTCTATTGATTTCAGGGAGGAAGAGAGGGGAGAGATAGAAACATCAATGATGAGAGAGAACCATTGATCAGTTGCCTCCTGCACGCCCCCTACTGGGGACCGAGTGAGCAACCAATGGGGGCATGTCCCCTGATCTGGAATTGAACTGTGACCTCCAGGTTCATAGGTTGATGCTCAGCCTCTGGGCCACACTGGTCGGGCTCATATAACTTGCTCTACCTCTTCTCCTTTGATGCTAATGCATGAAATAAACTGCAAAACGGATATCCCCCAGAGCGTCATCTCAGTTTATTGAGAGTTTGCTTCTAGGACTAGCCCCTAAATCCCTGGCTCATCGTACATTCTTTAAACCTTTCTTTAGGTCTGAAAAATCTTTCCTGTATATTTATTGTGGTGCCTACGAAGAGGCTTCTAAGAAGCCCATCCAGGAGGGTGGTACCTGCAGGACCCTTGTGCCCTAGTGGCAGCAGGTGAACTTGGGTGAGTTCTCCTTTGGAATTTCGGACCTCTGTGTTTTGTTAAAGGTCTTTATTTTATTTGAGCCGTTCTTAGAAAATCCTGGAGGTGGCACTAAAAGATAAGGAATAGGAGAAAAGGGAGATTGTGTGTGTGTGTGTGTGTGTGTGTGTGTGTGTGTGTGTTTTTGTGATCTTTGAATGTGATTATGTTTTAACTTTTGCTTAATGCACAAAACGCCATTGATTCCCAGGTTCTGCTGACATCCGTCAGTAAGGATGTTTTTCTTACCATGGCTCTACAGGTGATAAAGGAAGATGTACAAGTGCTAACTACGGAACAACTATAATTTTTGAACGTTAATGAGGTACCGGACAGGAATATCCATTGATGTCTACCTCGTGATCTGATGTGGTCCTGGGAGCCATGCTATGCAGTGCATTGCTTTTACTGAACAGGGCTCTCAGCATTGTCTGGCCATGTGCTTAGCGAAAAGCCACTGATTCGATCCTGGGCTGCAGAAAGACATGGCTACCTAGTCATTTTAGAGCACTCAGTTTCTAAACTATGGGGAGAGATTAGGAATAAAACAATGATTTACTTATTTATTTAACAGTGGAAAAAAATGTAGTATGTGTGTACAGAGAAATCACATAAGCATGAACCCCAGTGATATATTTTAAGGGAGAAATCTAACTAGGTGAAGCCAATTCTATGAAGCTTGAATATGAACAATAAATATGTAGTAGTAAGTACGTTACATGCTTCTTACACAGCTGTCTAGGGAAAAACCCCGGGTCACTTTTCTGAGTAATGGTTCACTGTGGAAGAACAATAATGTCTACTGTAATTTCTTTTTTTTTCCTTCAAAATATTTTTTATTGATTTCAGAGAGGATGGGAGAGGGAGAGAGAGATCGAATCATCAATGGTGAGAGATAATCATTGATTGGTTGCCTCCTGTACACCCCCTATGGAGGATCGAGCCAGCAACTCAGGCATATGCCCTTGACCGGAATCAAACCCTTCAGTCTGCAGGCCCACGCTGTGTCCACTGAGCCAAGCCGGCTAGGGCTACTGTAATTTCTTTAATGTCCTCAGTTATGCTGGGCATCAAAACATGCTTTTTAATTGACCACATATAGTAAAATATAGTGGGTACTTCTAGATGACTAAACTTCTTTAAAAAAATATATATTTTATTGATTTTTTACAGAGAGGAAGGGAGAGGGATAGAGAGCTAGAAACATCGATGAGAGAGACATCGACCAGCTGCCTCTTGTACACGCCCTACCGGGGATGTGCCCTCAACCAACTAGATGACTAAACTTTTAAACAACTGTAACTTTTGGAAGAACGAAGCCAGGCTGGTACAAAGGCTGCTGATTGTAATGGTATAATTAAGCAGACATTACTAATCTATTGCTGCACATTTCCCATCATCTCCAGACGTGACCTCAAGATTGTTCTCAACAGTGTGCTTCAGGCAGAACTCCTACTTACCTGGAGTTGTCATATGAGATGAATGAAGCCTTTTGCTGTCTCTATGTAGATATAAGAAAAAGTTAACTTTCCTGTGTCTCCTTGCTGACTTTTTTTTTTTTTTAAAACCAATAAACAACCTGGGCTTTGTATTTCCAACTAAATCACTAAATGGCCCATTGATTGTTATGTCACTTTGAAAAGTGGGCCATTTTAGAAGTCAAACTGCAGAAGTTGACAGGATTGTTGAGGCAAGGCTTCATTTGACTTTTGAGCTTTTTATTCCATGCCAGACATTAATGGGAGTCAACTCCTGGAACAGACGGAAAATTGTGTATTTCAGGAGAGAAAGCAAATGGGTTGTAGGTACTAAATGCGGATCCGATCCTTTAGGATGAGAAAGTTTTCTCTGACGGCAAGTCGGCACCACATGACCCGGAATATTCATGTCTACATACTTGAGTTCTTTCTTCTTCGTATCTTGAAGTTGCAGGCAAATGACGACTCTGGACAAAATAATGTGATAGGCAGGAAAACTTAGGTTGCAATTTTCAAACCTGAGGAGTGAAGTGGTTCCATTAAAAATGCATTAGGTATAGAATGAAACACACACACGCTGCACCATCCTCAGCTTTGGTTGGTTCCTAACGATCGGACTCCTCGGGATTACTTGCATTTATTTTACGACTGACATGACACAAATGGCATCAGAACTTTTTGAACCAAGGAAACAATTTCAAAATGTAATATCGCAGGACAAGGAAAATGAATAGGCCTTGTCTGTTCGTGTACAATGGCCCTAAAAATACACAGCCGTAATTTCATGGCTGACCTGTGTTCTAATTTACTCCCGGCGCTTCTCTTGCTGAAATGGTAATTCTTGGGGCTGTACATTTGGCCAAAAATGATGGAGTTATGAAAACCATGACACAGCCTCTCTCAGCAAGGAAAGTAGGACACGGTGATGGACGTAACTTCACTTTTGGTGGTGTGACAGGAAGGGAGAGTTTCCAGAGTGCTGAATCCTGGCTGCGCACCCTCAAACCAGCCGTCTAACTTCTCTGACCCTCAGTTTCTTCCTCTGTAACTGGACTCGCTAGGAGGAGAGATGAGTCAGGGAGTGCCTAGCACAACGGCTCATTGAAAGGACTCAACAGGTTTTTTTTTTTTTTTTTTAAAATATTTTATTGGTTTCTTAGAGAGAGGAAGGGAGAGGGAGTTAGAAATATCGATGAGAGAGAATCATCGATCCGCTGCCTCCTGCACATCCCCTACTGGGGATGTGCCCACAACCAAGGTACATGCCCCTGACCGGAATCGAACCTGGGATCCTTGAGTCCGCAGGCTGACATCCACTCAGCTCACATCCACTGAGCCAAACTGGTTAGGGCATCAACACGTTTTATGTTATTTATTTGTTTTTAAATTGTTTTGATTGGCAGTGTTCTTCCTGCCATTGTATAGTATTTAGAAAAAAAAAAAATGATCCTGGGATTGTGGAATGGAAGAGCTTCCAAAATAATTTTCCCGTTTTGGATTCTAAGCTTCTACCGAGGACATCACCAAGAAATGTTGCCAAGAGAAGAGGCAGGGGATGGCGGTTCGTACATCGTAAAACAAACCTGGACCACAAGACGGATGTAGTTCCTTTGGTCTTTTTGCAAAAACTGTATTATTTACTGGGAAAATGGTTTTACCTTGTTAAAAGAAAAAATAAACTTAAGCCATCACCATGAAAGTAAATTTAAGCCATCACCATGGAAATGCCCAGAGCAGTGTGCTGGAGGGTGAGAAGCCTGGGGAGGTGAGCCAGCCATTCCAGCCAGGAGCTCCTGGCCTCCACCTGGCGCCCAGGTACTAATAAATTCCAGTCAAGAGCAGCAAAACCGCTTACATGACCACCTGGGAGAGTGATAACTGTAGCCTGCCTCGGAGGCTCTGTGGTGTGTTATGCAGTACTACGATATTAAAACAATAGATAATGGTTACACTTCCGTAACAGCTCACATCCTCTTGTGCTCCGATTCTGGCTTCTCTGTCAGGCTCTCCTGGAGAGTAGGATGCTATCTTCTGCACCTGGTATCCCCAGGGCCCCGCACAGGACCTGATGGACAATAAACATTTGTCACCCGAAGTTCTGGCTTTCACAATTCATCCGCTCATTGGATTGTTTGTCCCTACGTTCAGGGTTTCACTACTGACCACCCACTATACGCCAGACACTGTGCTGCGTGCTAGAATGACCAACGTGAGCAAAAGTGACATTGGAAGGGTCCTGTGATTAGGAATGCAAAGCGTGTCAGCATACGTGCTTTCTAATGTGGATGGATGAATGGGCAGATAAAATAGTCACATTGGATTTCTGTGGGGAGGAGTAATGGGAGGAAAGATCTATTATATTAGGGAGTTAGTGTAAGTGGGATGGAAGGGGTTGGGCTGGGAAGTAGTGAGAGAAACTTTTGAAATATAGTGCTGGAGGGCTCAGCTGATAGGCCAAGGGGTTTGGATTAGGTTGACAACTGGACTATTTACACAAGTCAGGCAGGTAATGTAAGTAAGTAAAAAAGACCAAATGCCGAGAGAGAGAGACCGGTGGGGACCATAGCAGTCTGGGGAGTCCATGCCTTGCTAAAGACCTTGTCCAGAGCTAGATCAGTGCTTCCTAGACTTTCGTGTGCAGGGGGGTCACTGGGCAGCTGTCTCTGGGGCTGAGTTTGGGAGGGGTGGTGGGGTCTGAGACCCCATATTTCTAACAACCTCCAGGTGATGCCATGCTCTGAGAAATAAGAATCTAGTTGATTGTTGCCATGTGACAATGTGGGTCCAGGTTTGCCAGTTCATTGGACCTCTTCAATAAACCCATATATCTCTGTTTTACCTAAAATTCCCTGATTTTTTATAGTAGTAACTCGGGTTTGTAAAATGGGAAATCTCTCTTTGACTACTTCATGGAATTATGAATGCCAAGACGTCACACCTCCCCCTCTCTCCCCCTCTCTCCCTCCCTCTCTTCCTCCCTCCCTCTTTTCTTTTCTTTAACAGCTCTTTTAAAATGTACAAGCCATGCTTTGTGGGATGTATAAAAATAGGCTGTGGCCTGGCTGGTTGAGTGTCAACCTATGAACCAGCAGGTCGCAGTTCCATTCCTGGTCAGGGCAAATGCCTGGGTTCAGGCTGGATCCCCAGTTGGGGGTGTGCAGGAGGCAGCTAATCAGTGATTCTCTTTCATCATTGATGTTTCTATACCTCTCACTCCCCTTTCCTCTCTGAAAGCAATAAAAATATATTTAAACAAACAAACAAACAAAACAACACAAGCAAATAAACAAAGCCACAGGCTGTGGTCTGGGTTTGGCCCATGGGCAGCAGTTTGTCCTGCCAGCTCCTGGCGGGGCTATCTTACAACTCGGTAGCGATGGGAGTTAACATGTGAAAACGGAATAGCGTTGCACATGATTCTTATCTAAGAGGAATGTAAAGAATTCCTCGCCACAAGGATACAAATAAATTTTCCCATGGAGAGATGCCACTGATTTCTATGTAGTAGAAAAAGAAACCCCAAATATCTATTTATTGTCATGTAGGACATTAACCAGTTTCACATCTATGAGCAAATTGATTTTGGTGTTCCTTTGACGGACTAACTGTATCTCCGTTCCTCACATTCTCCTTTGACTCAGTCAGAATATCTTACTGACTCTCTCAATAACTAAAGACTGGAATGAGATCCTTGGCATGCTTGTTTTCTGTTTGCATGAAGATCAGATTTTTAACTTTTTGAAATTAATTCTGTAGCAATAATGTTATACTTTAAAAAATATATATTTTATTGATATTTCACAGAGAGGAAGGAAGATGGATAGAGAGCTAGAAACATCGACCAGCTGCCTCCTATACACCCCCCATTGGCGATGTGCCCGCAACCAATGCACATGCCCTTGACCAGAATCGAACCTGGGACCTTCCAGTCCACAGACCGACACTCTGTCCACCAAGCCAAACGGTTTTGGCAACGTTATCCTTTTTTTTTTTTTTTTTTTTTTTTTAACAAACTAGAAACTGGCTGTACAAGTGGTTAGGGGAGTTTCCCAGTTAAACCAGTGCGTGGCCCAACTGGGCCTCTGGGACTTGGACATGTCTTTGGATTCTTAGTGAAGAAGAGAAAAAAAGCAGTTCTGTCATTTTGCCCTCCGTCTGACTTCCTGGAGAATTTAATTTTCCTTATCCCAGGATAGGAAAGCATTTCTGAAAGAACTGTAGTAAGTTAAGTAGTTTATATTACTCATTTCCATATTCTGTGAGATCCTTTTTTAAAAAAACCTGTCCAGCCCCTTTGTATGCAAGTAAAAACTTTTTCTCACACCACAGCATTTCTGTGAATACCTTTTAAGATTAGTCTGGTTGTCTCTTTCTTGTACCTCTCTGGCCTGCAATTTAAATTTCCTGCAGAGTCGCAATGCTCCGAGAGGCAGGCATGCTGAGAATAGGAGGTGGATAGCTCTGCCCGGAAGTCAGTGTAACAAACCAAAAGATTTAATATGTCTCTGTAGTTCCATTGCTCGGGTGTGTGTTGGCTTGAGGTTATCAAGTATTTGCTCATCTTTTATCTTCATTTATTCTAATCTTAGATGTAGAGTGAGAGTATTATCTATGACCTTTTAGGGCAAAAGGAGGAATTGGCTAATAATATTAGACACCAGG